CCCACAAAACTAATAGGTTTCCTTAAAACCAGAGGCGGGGATCCCTCTTAACGTCAATGCAAATTTCAAATTAAATCCGCACCGACATTCCCACCTTCCCAAATATATGCACGGCCACGCAATTTGCAAATGTAACCTTTTGCTGGGCCTTTGTCCTACAAGCCTGTGCATTTTTGGTCAGGATTTTAACCTCGTTGGCTCATGTTCGTATGCCCTTTTTTTTTTTTTTTTGCATTGCGGTGAGGTTGTGCAATTTTAAAAAAACCGGCGATTTTCAGCATGCAAAGTGAGGTCTGGATCTCCGATACATTCAGGAGACCGAAGGCGGTCGATTCGTTTTAAAATTGGGGGTCAGTGTCTGAGCAACAAACAACTGAATGTGGCGGAAAAAGTTTAGGCTTACTGTACAAGGTAGCACAAGTATTATCATCTTCTTCTTTTAATGAAGAAGGGTGGAGTCTGGGCAACTGAATGGAGCTAGCAAAGTGTTTTACTGGCCGGATGCTTTTCCTGTCGCCAATGCGGAGTTTTGTTCAGCAGACATATTCTCAGTGTGCCCAGAGAGAGAAATATCTGCCTCTACCTAGGATCGAACTCACAGCCTCCTGATTGTGAGATGAGGGCTCCACCTCTAGACCAATGCACCAGTGGTGGGTTGCTCCCGGTTCTGTCCAGTTCTTGCGAACCGGTAGTAAAAGCAGTGGGAGGCTCCACCCATCTCCAGTGGTGGGTTCCTCCTGGTTCGGCCCGGTTCAGCCGAGCCTGTAGCGGTGATGATATGATGTCACCGAACCGATTCTGTTTGTTCGGGAGCACAAGGATAAAGCACCATAAATCATTTTCTAATCCAGGTGAGTTTGCAGTAATACAGCTAGTTCTCAACTTACAACCATTCATTTAGGGACTGTTTTTCACACTTACGACCGTCACTGCATGCCCCATAGCCCCACGTGATCCAAATTCAGACTGACTCATATTTATGACAATTGCAATGTCCTGCGGTCGTGTGATCCCCTTTTCGGGCATTCGGACGAGCAACGTCAACAAGGGAATCCAGATTCAATTAACTACTTCATATAACAACTACTCAAGATGTCTAACTTGAGAAGTGTCTTGTTTAGCAACAGAAATGTTGGGCTCAATTGTGGTTGTGAGTCGAGGCTTACTTGTAGCTCAAAGTGAGAATTCTGGGTGCTTCGTTCGATGATCCATTTGTAGTGTGATGGTTGTTAAGGATATTCTTGGCTCATAACTGATGTTGTAGGTTATTGAGCAGAGTACCCTTTGAGTAAAACGCATGCAATCCTAAATTGCATTAACAGAGGGATACAATCAAGATCAAGTGAGGTACTAATACCACTCTATAAAGCCCTAGTAACCTAGCCCATAACAACAACCCTATGAGGTGGATTCGGCTAAGAGAGAATGATTGGCCCAAAGTCACCCAGCCGGCTTTCATGCTTAAGGCGGGAATAGAACTCATCGCCTCCTGGCGATTGGCTGAAAGTCAGAACAGAATAGAATAACAGAGTTGGAAGGGACCTTGTAGGTCATCTAGTCCAACCCCCTGCCCAAGCAGGAGACCCTACACCATTTCTGACAGATGGCAGTCCAGTCTCTTCTTGAAAGCCTCCAGGGATGAAGCTCCCACAACTTTTGAACACAATCCATTAGTTGATGGTTCTCACTGTCAGAAAATTCCTCCTTATTTCAAGGTTGAATCTTTCCTTGTTCAGTTTCCATCCATTATTCCTTGTCTGGTCTTCGGGTGCTTTGGAAAATAGCTTGACCCCCTTTCTCCTCTCTGGGGCAGCCCCTCAAATATTGGAAGATGCTCTCCTGTCTCCCCTGGTCCTTCTCTTCACTAGACCAGCCATGCCCAGTTCCTGCAACCGTTCTTCGTATGTTTTAGTCTCCAGTCCTCTAATCCTCTTGTTTGCTCTTCTCTGCACTTTTTCTAGAGTCTCAATCAGTGGTGGGTTTCAAATTTTTTTACTACTGCTTCTGTGGGTGTGGCTTGGTGGGCGTGGCATGGCATGGTGGGCGTGGCAGGGGAAGGATACTGTAAAATCTCCATTCCCACCTGACTCCAGGGGAAGGTTGCTGCAAAATCCCCATTTCCCCCCGATCAGCTGGGAGTTGGGAGGCAGAGAATAGATGGGGGGGGGGGCAGTCAGAATTTTTACTACCAGTTCTCTGAACTAGTCAAAATTTCTGCTACCGCTTCTCCCGAACCTGCTGAAACCTGTCTCTGATCTCAATATCTTTTTTATAGTGTAGTGATCCAAACTGGATGCAGAATTCTAGGCGTGGTCTTACTAAGGCTTTATAGAGTGGTATTAGTACCTCCTTTGATCTTGATTGACTCCCTCTGTTAATGCAATTTAGGATGGCTTTTTTGGCTGCCGCTGCACATGGCTGGCTCCTGTTTAGCTGGTTGTCCACTAAGCCTCCAAGATCCCTCTCCCAGTTCCTGCTATTAAGCCTGGTTTCACCCAGTCTATATGTGTACTTTTGGTTTTTCTTGCCTAAGTGTAAGACTTTACTTTTCTCTACATTGAATTTCATTTTGTTAGATAGGGCCCAGGGTTCAAATCTGTCAAGATCCATCTGAATCTTGAGCCTATCTTCTAGGGCAGTGATGGCTAAGCTTTTTGCCATTGCATGCCGGGGGGGGCGGGGGGCGGGGGAGGCTCGCGCGTGGACATGCCCACACTCATAATTCTATTCGCCCCGCCCCACACATGTGCGTGTGACCCCCCCCCTTATCCCTTACCGGGCACGCGATGGCCCGGTAGGCCCGGTTTTCTTTCTCACCTGGCTCCAGATCCTCTCTATGCATCTGGGGAGGGCGAAAACAGCCTTCCCCACCACCTCGGAGGGCCTCGGAGTTGGGAAAAAGGCCCATTTCCCAACTTCCAGTTGGACAGGAAGTGAAGTTTTTTGCCACCTCCAGCCTCCAGAGCCCAAAAATCAGCAAGCTGACACACACATGCGCGCCGGAGCTAAGCTCACGTGCCCACTGATATGGCTACGCGTGCCACCTGTGGCACACGTGCCATAGGTTCGCCATCATGGTTCTAGGGTGTTGGCCATTCTTGCCAGCTTAGTATCATCTGCAAATTTGGTAAGTTCCCCTTTTAAGTCATTTATGAATTGTTTAAGTTACCCAGCCAGCTTTCGTACCTAAGGTGAGACTAGAACTCCAGGTCTCCCAGCCATCGGCTGGGTTCAATTCTGCTTCTATTTTTTGATTTCATCCTGTTTATGTCTTACCATTTTATTCCTCTTGTTGAAACATTTGGAGCTCCATTAAAATCAAAAACAGCATATTAACTATTTTTACCGACCGAGAGATTAATTAAGTAATTGATACAGTGCCGTGTCTTTTTTTTCCAAAGATTTAAAAATGCAAGCCACGTTCTCCGGGCATCAAAGGAAAAATAAGTCATGATTCCTTCTGCTCCAAATAATTCTAATTTCTTCCTTAAGCCGAAGAAGACCATTTTTTTTTAAGAATTTCTTCCGTGCGCTTAACGCAAGCAGAGTCCTTCTACCGTTACACAAACGGAGTCTTGCAAAATAAACAAATTTGATAGCTTCAAGGAAAGACAAATCTTTTTTTGTGTGTGTGTATTTGGAGGGAGTAAATGTTTTGTTATTAAATTCACTGGTTTTGCTGTTGTTGTTTTTTTCCGGAACTCTGCCACAACGTTTTATGCAACTAAATTTGCAAGATTTCCACCCCCCACCCCCCAAACAGCAATGTTGGGGTTTATTGAAAACTACCAAAATGCATCTTATCAAAAATATGCACACACACTCACGAAAAGAACAACAATGCACAGATAGGGGAAATGTTTGTTCTTAAAAACAAAATCTGCCCCGATTCAATTTACATAAGAAATAAAAACAACAGGGGGAAATGATGTTTAAAAAAAGGTTTTCAAGAATTCGTGTAAACAACTACAAAGATCACTGAAGGGGAAGGTTGTGTACCGAGACTCGGTTATGTGAAGGAAAGCTGTGAACGAAAACAGATGCACAGCTATTTAAATTTGTCTTTTTCCAAAAGCATCCAGAAGAGCTGATGGATTGCTACTGTTATATCAGAAACAGATATCTATTGATAATGAACTAGAATTCCCTACAGATTTGTTTTGACCTTCAGGTAATAATGGGCCTTTCTCAGTTAGATTTCATGGCTAGAAAAATACACATTTGTCCCATTCAGGAAAGCTACCCTCCAAAATGTACGTGATAGACAGAAGGGGAAGAAAATGAAAAAGAAAACAAAACGGGAGCCAAGGAACTGACTGAAAGGAGAAAGGGGGGAATTTAAATTTTTTGTTGGGTCTTTGGTGCTCTCTGAGCTTGGTTGTTTTCTTGCAGACATTTAATAACCCAACTAGGGAACATCATCAGTGCTAGAAGGGAGTGGGGTTTGTAGATCCTAAGGAGAGACTAGAACAAGGGGTGAAATCCAACAGGTTCTGACAGGTTCGGGAGAACCGGTAGCGGAAATTTTGAGCAGTTCGGAGAACCGGCAAATACCATCTCTGGCTGGCTCCAGAGTGGGGTGGGAATGGAGATTTTGCAATATCCTTCCTTCAGGAGTGGGGTGGGAATGGAGATTTTGCAATATCCTTCCCTCAGAAGTGGGGAGGGAATGGGGATTTTGCAATATCCTTCCCTCAGGAGTGGGGAGGGAATGGGGATTTTGCAGTATCCTTCCCCTGGAGTGGGGTGGGAATGGAGATTTTGCAATACCCTTCCTCCAGGAGTAGGGAGGGAATGGGGATTTTGCAGTATCCTTCCCCTGCCACACCCACCAAGCCACACCCACAGAACCGGTAGTAAAATAATTTGGATTTCACCACTGACTAGAACTCGCGGTCTCAGAGAACATCAAGGATGCCACAATTCAGCGCTGAGCTACAAATATTCTCTTCCATTAGAGCGGTTCCATTCTTTTGTTGAAGTAAGTGTGACAACTGTGTGATGGTGTGTGTGTGTGAATGACGAAGGTGGGGAGGAAGAGATGCTCTTCTAGGAAATGGTCAGAGAAGAGAGGCTGGAGCCCTCAGTGGATTAACGGTTAGAGGAAGAAAATGAGGAAGGACCAGGGAAGGGATTCAGCCGGTTCGTACCAATTTGGGCGAACTGGTAGTTGTGACCTGCGGGTGGATGCCGTCCTACTTAGCTGCATTTTTTAAGCCGCACACGTGTGTGCAAGAGGACACGTGAGTAAAGCCCATACACAGTAGGCCACGGACGCGCTCACATTTTCAGTGCTGGGGCGAACCGGTTGTTAAATGATGTGAAGCCCATCTCTCGGAAGGACCCACCTTAATATATCAGTCAGTTAAACATGGAGATCGGAATTGTTTTGTCCTTTCAGATTCTTTAAAAGCAGCCTTACACTAAATCAGCTCTCCCAGTCCTTTTTCCTGCCTGTTTTATACCTGGCTTGGGGGGGCGGGGGGCTATCACCCCACCAGGACAGCCAGACTGGTACCCTCCAGGAAAGTCCAGAATTTTCATCACTAGGAGCAATAAAGTTTATGATTAGAAACAAAGTAAGGGGAATGGAGGTAAAACACATGAAAAAAACAGTTGCAGGAACTGGGTATGTCTAATCTAGTGAAAAGAAGGATTAGGGGGTGACAGGATCGGTGATGGGATTCAGCCGGTTCGGGCCGGTTCGGGCAAACTGATTGTTAAATTGCTGGCTGGCCTCGCCCTTCCCTGCCCCTTCCAGGAGTCCCCACCTGCTCCATTTCGGCTCCCAGGTAAGTGCAGGGAGGCCTAGTAGGCCCAAAATGGGGTGCGGGGGTGTGAGGCATGCCACCCCCACCCCCCGATGGTCCGTTTTTGCTCCCAGAAGGCTGCGGAGAGGCCTACTAGGCCCAAAATGGGGTACAGGGGGGTGTGACCCCTCCACGGCCCATTTTTGCGCCCAGGGGGATGCTGACTGTCACACCGCCTGGCCATGCCCACCCAGTCGGTCATTAGGGCAGAGAACCGGTTGTTAAATTATTTGAATCCCACCACTGGACATGATCCAATATTTGAGGGGCTGCCACTGTAGTGGAATGGAAGGACTAAAAAACATTCCCAGGTCAGTCAGAGACAGCTTTATTGCGCAAGGTTCAGAGCCAGATTTGTACCTGAAGCTTTGAACAAAGAAAGAACTCTGATACAATGGTTTTTATACATTTCTAAGACAAAGGATTCAGTGAGATCATACATTTTCCATATATGGTTAATCATGAGATCATACATCCGATTTTCCTTCTATGGTTACATACACTGAATAATAAGTTCATCTAATTACTTAAAGCATTAATCTTAGTTTATAAAATTATCTTAGCCACACAACTTTTCTTAAGCGCTCGGAGTTGCTAATGGGAGAGTTACTACTATCCTTGGGTAAATTCATTGGATTAAGTAACTCTTTGTAATATATAGGTCTTTGTGTCATTCACAGTCAGGTCACTCAGATGTTTTTCCATATAGCAGTCCTTTCCGTGACATCTAGGTCTCAGAAGATATATTACCACTTAAAGGGGTTTAACTGTTTGTTAATGTAATTTCCAACAAGCACTTTCCTCTCTTATAATAATGTGAATAGATAGGGTCTCTCAGAGTTCATGTATCCAAGCACGTCTTCCCCTTATAATAATGTGAATAGAGAGGGTCCCCCAGAGCCCATATATCTGACTCTGTATGATTCCTATTTTATTCACATTATTTCTTTTATCTACATTATTCTTTATTTGCTATTTACCTCACCACAAAGAAAAGGGGGGTCAACTTATTCTCCAAGGCACCTGAAGGCAGGGCAATAAAACAACAAACGGAAACTAACCAAGAAGAGAAGCAACCTAGAATTAAAGGAGAAATTTAGTGAGAACAATTAGTCAGTGGAACTCCTTGCCTCCAGAAGTTGTGGGTGCTCCATCACTGGAGGTTTTTAAAGGAGAGATTATACAGCTATTTGTCTGAAATGGTGTAGGGCCTCCTGCCTAAGCAGGGGGTTGGACTAGAAGACCTCCGAGGTCCCTTCCAACTCTGTTATTCTGTTATTTTCTTCCTCTGCATTCATCTAATCTTTTTCACCTTTCCTCTCTGCAAACCTTCTGCTAAAATTGAGATACAGGGTGGCGGGACCACCGCGTGATTTCTTTTCAACATCACTTTCTTTCTTGTTTCTCACTCTTTCTCTCTCTCTTTTTTTCAGGATCATTTTACCTTGGTTTATAGAAGAAAATAAGATGCGTGCAAATTTGAGAAACCCAAACTGGGCATTTTAAAATCCTGGGGTTGTTTAAAAAAAAAAAATAACCAGAGGGTTGCAGAGATTGGCGCGATGATTAGCTGAGTATTTTGTTTCCTAGAAGGTTACCTGGAGCAAGAAACCACATCAGCTACAGGAAAAGGAAAACAGAAACAAGCGGTGTTTGGCTTACCATCACAAAGAGCCGAGGCATTCTTTGCAAAAGTGTGGCTTACACAATCCCCAAAAGATCAGGGAGAAACAAAATAAGTCAGGCCGTCACAGTTTACAAATCTGGTAGCTTTGTATAAGAAAAAAAATTTTAATCGGCGAGTTTTGTTTCTTGCAACTCCGTCCTCGAATTGCGCTCGGGAGGCCAAGCGGTTCAGGAGGCAAAACTTTTGAGAAGGTGGGAGGCGAAGGGAGGGAAGGATGGGGGTGGGGGCACGTGGGATGAATTCAGAGCAAGTGGGGAGGGGCTGGTTTTATCCCAGTTTTTAGGGAGACCTGCCTCGCCTCGCCTGCTGACCCCTGCCTATGTGGCCAGGGGAGAGAGATCTGTCCATTGGCCTCTGAAAAGGTGGTGCTAAATTATCTGACTTTCACCTTGTAGTCCCGTCAGTTTGAAAAAGGCATGAGAGAGGGAGGGAGGGAGGAAGGAAGAAGGGAAGGAAGGAAGGAAGGAAGGAAGGAAGGAAGGAAGGAAGGAAGGA